TTCTCTTTTCCAAATTTTGATAAATTCAGCCCGAAAATTCACATATCTGCAAGAAAAAATCTTAAAAAATTCAAGGTTTTTATGTGCTGTCCATTTGAATATTATCCATTATTTATCATTATATGAAAATTGAGGAAGCGCGCTCTGATTGGCTGAAGAGGAAGACATTCTCAGGAGTCAATTTTGAAGGAAGATTATTCTAAGCTTCTGCGATTTTGTCATTGTTGATGAAAAAGCTCTTCCTCGATTAAAAAAAATTAATCCCTTGTCATATCATATGACTCATATCAGAGACTGACTAAAGAGACCGGAAGCGCACTGATCGAAGCGATCTCAGCAGATGAGCTCAAAAGCTGGGATCTTTTCAAAAACAAACTCACTCTCATCCTTGGAAAGGATGCCGAACATTACAAATTTCAGTACAACAACTTCCAACGTGGGAGTGAATCACAATTCATGGCGCTCACAAAGCTCATCGCTAGGGTCCGTACACAAAAATTAAGTACCCGAAATACTTATCCAATCCTTTTTATTTTTAAATGTGTTTTAGAGATAGCTCAAATAAGGATTTTTGCTTTTTTGACTTTCTCTAAAATAAAAGGGATGAGAAAATATAAAGGGTTAAAAATGGTGATTTTTGTGTTCACCAGGTTGCATTCCGAGTTCAGAAAAATTGATCTTACTGGGATAACCGGCGGGACAAGCTCATTTCAAATCCTTTTTAAAAAGTTTGAACAGAGCATGCATCTGTCCGAAATTTACAAAAAACTGTAAATTTTGCCGATATTTTGAATGCAGCGCGCGGCGCGCGGTCACGCAGGGGAGCGCATGATACGGGGTGAGCACGCAAAACCCAGGGTGAAAGGTAGAATAGATTTTTTCAAATTTTTTAAATAAGCCTGAGTGTACCGAAAGAACCGTCAGATATGCTCTAGGAAGATTTTTTCGAGCCAGGAATTGAACTAATTGAAAATTAAAAAAAAACTATTTTCATAATCTATGATAAAAACCATAATTTAAATAAAAACAGGGATAATTTGAATTTTAAAAACAATGGGTGTGGGTGGGGTTGGGGACAAAACTGAGATTGATCAACTCAGAGTTCCAGGCCTTTGTCAAGCCCCTTAAATTTAAAAATCAAGGAATGGGGCTGAGACGGCCCATTATTTTTAATTTTAAATTTTGAAAGAAAAATTTTTTTTTTATCTTTTTTTCTTAATATTTTATTTATCTTTTGTTTCTTATTTCTCAAAAAAACTTTATTTTTATTAGAATTTATATTTCTATGAAAATTGAAATTTTTCTGATTGTGTCGTTGCGCTGCGGCCACCCTACGACTTCCAAATATGGAAAGTGACTCACCGCGCGCCAAGCGCAGCGCAAGAAGGCAGAATTTTGATCTTCTTCTCTTAAAATGAGCATGTTGCAGACGGTGTTCAAACTTTTTTCTTGAAGATTAAAATAAAAATAGCTATCTAAAAATGTACTTATGTAGTTAATTCTTTTGAAAGTCTTATGCAATAGTTTTTTCAGCCTATTTATGCGATTATCTCATCAACCCTTTTTTCTTTTTTTTGGAAATTTATGTTTTTACAATCCTCAAGGGCATATAAATTACCCCTGAAACTCTCAAAGGATTTGCTTTTGAAACAAAAAAGTTAGAATTTTTGTGTACGGACCCTACTCATCGCCTTCTTCAAGAAAGGATACGGCAAAGAAACCCTTGATCCAGCCGACGAAAGCATAATTTGCGAAAGGTTCATCAACGCTCAAGAACCGCGATTATGTGAGTTGCTCAGAAGGGAAAAATCGCTGCTGACTCTCAAAAACATCGCTCAGCGCAGCACTGAACTTGAAAGATCGTTCTTCAAGAAAGAAAATATATTCACTGCAGAGGAATCCTCACCGACACAAAGCTCAGAAGTTTCAATGCTCTGCTCAAAATTGAAAGAAATTGTGTCTTCAGCAGTCAAAAAGGATCAGCCAAAGCCAAAAGAGCCAAAGCGGAAGAGAAACAGAATCGACACTTCGAAGATCGACGGATTCTGCATCAGCTTTGTCAAAAGGGGATCGTGTAAATTTGGATCAAAGTGCAAATACATCCACTCCGATGATGTTCCCGCTCACGTAAAAATTGATCAAAAACGAGGAATGACTATCAAAGGTCACCGAAACGTGTAAATATGCTCATTTTGCACCGACCTCGCTCAAATATGTCAAGATCACGCTCCACGGACTAACCTTTCCCGCTCTTATTGACACCGGATGTAGTCGAACATGTTTCCGCTCCGATGTAATCGACCTACTTCCAGCTCACGTCAACAAACAAACACCCTCGAATATAAGGCTCAAGTGTGCGAATTCAGAAATCGTTCAAGTCAGTACGCTCAGCTCCACGATCGAAGCAAATCTGATAAGAAATGGATCGCCACTCAAGATCAAACTCAACCCGCTCATTGTTCAAAACCTTTCGTGCCCGATCATTCTTGGCATGGATACGCTCAAGCAAGTAACGATTGGAGAAAGCTCGATAACTCTCCTAGGAAAATTTATCCCCACTATCAATCCAAATTCCTCAGATCTGCTTCTCACAGGAATTATAGAGGTGGATAGAAAATCTGGCTCTCAAAAGGAGGAATACGATCAGTTCCTCCATAGACGTTCACAAGCCGCCGAAAGGATCAATTTCAAACGGGTCAGCAACGGATCATACGGGTCAGCAAACAATGTTCAAAAGGCTCAATTGGATGAACTTGTTTACAAATATCGGCTTAGCTTCTCAATGGACTCGGACGATCTTGGACGACTGTTTGGATTTCGTTACACTCTTCCGCTCTACGATGAATCCAAAACTTCCCACCAGCCTCCAAGACCAATACCAATTCACTCTCAAGATCAAGTCGATGAAGCGATGACGAAATGGAAACAGCTCAAAGTTATTCAGAAAACCCAATCCGCTCACAACATTCCTTTGATCCTCCTTCGAAAACCTGATCAAACAATTCGAATCAGTCTCGACGCTCGAGGAATCAATTCACTTCTCATCAAAGATCGCTTCCCACTTCCGCACATGCAAACAGTCTTCACAAGGATCGGCAAACGCCTAAGTGAAGGAAAAGAATGCTTCATCAGCTCAGTAGACTTTTTCCGAGGCTATTGGCAAGTCCTGATCAATGAAAGTGATGCTCACAAAATGGCCTTCTCATACAACAACGAACACTTCCAAGCAAACAGAATGCTCTATGGCTCTTGCAATGCACCTGCTGCATTTAGTCGCATCATGATGACGCTTATGAACCACCCATCAATCACGCTCTACATTGATGATCTCGTCATCATTGACTCCAGCTGGGAAGAACATCTCAAGTCGCTCGAGTTTGTCTTCAAAACGTGTTTGGATTATGGGCTCATAATTAGTGCGAAAAAGTGCCAGCTCGCAAGTAATGAGATCGACTTTCTTGGACATCGTGTGACTGCCTCTGGAATTAAGCCACTCAAGAAACATATCGAAGCGATCGAGAAGATGAATCCACCTGAGACAAAAGCCGAACTCAAGAGATACCTTGGAATGATCAACTTCAATATAAAATATATTGAAAAAGAAAGTGAGATCCTTGCTCCGCTCTACAGACTCACCTCCGCTTAGGTAGATTACCAATGGACTGAGACGCATCAAAAGGCATTCGAAACGATCAAACACAAACTTCTGAAGGAACCGACCCTAGCTCACTTCAAACTTGGATCAAAGCTCGTCCTTGTGACAGATTCCTCAGGATTCGCGGTCGGTGGAACCCTTTATCAAATTCAAAATGGCTCGCTCGCTGCACTTGGGTACTTCAGTAAACAACTTCAAGGGCCCGATCTGAAACGGCCGATGCGTATCAAAGAATTATTTGCGCTCTGTTGGGGTATTCAGTTCTTCGAATATTATTTGCTCAACACCGAATTTGATGCGTACGTCGATCATAAATCACTGCTCTACTTGTTCCGAGAAGCTCGACAGTCAAAGCTCGACATAAAATTAAGCAATGTTTACAATTATCTCCTCGGGTTCAACTTCAACATCATTCATAAAAGTGAAACTAGTCCGGAAATGGCTTCAGCTGACTACTTCTCACGCCTTCCAAGATCAAAAAGCTCCGACTTGGAGGATGAAGCAAAAGATTTCTTTGATATCGCTGAGACGATATTTGCAGTCCACTCTCTCGCTCAAGATGATGTACTATTTTCTTTTGAAAATCGTTCGTTCACTTCAAAAGAAATGGCTCTCGCTCAACGATCCTGCTCAAAGACGAAAAATCTCATTGTCAAGTTCGAAATCAACAATTCTTTGAAACAATTCAAGCTCAAAGACAATGTGCTCTACTCAAATGATCGGCTCGTTCTGCCAAGTTCTCTTGCTGATGAATTTATTCAATATCTGCATACGATCACGGCTCATGCTGGGAGTCAACAGCTCATGCAGATGCTCCAGTCATTGCATTCATGAAAGAATTAAGCGAGCGGTTGATCATTTTGAAAAATGGATCCCGGACGGGAAAGTTCTTTGATCCACACAGAACAAGGTGCTCTAAGTGAATTAATCATAACATGCTCTAATTGTTCAAAATTACCTAGAATGTGAGCGACACCGTTGTCGGTAAAAGGAACGGTGCGGAAGCAAATGTTAAAGACTTTTTCCGTCTCGCCCTGTTTATCAATGTGCGTCCATTTGGCTTCGCTTTCTTGGTGCACTCGCTCGGTAACTTTCAATTTCAAATCGTCTACTTCGAATTGGTTCACGACATGGAATCCTTGAAGATTCGACGTCAGACGACGAGATAATGCCCGACCCGCCCTTAGCATTCTAACAGACAGCCAAAGTCACACATTGCATTTTGAAAAATGAAGAAATCGTCGATTTCTGATCAATTCAGAGCTCGATTATGAAAGTTATCGCACTCTTGTATGTCTCCAAATCAAAGAAAATCTGAACAGTGGAAAAAGTTAGGGCCCCTAACTTAGGGGTCTTGTTTTGCATTAGAATGGGTCCACTGCGGCTTTTTCTTCTCCATGAAAGAGTTGATTCCTATTTGTGTGTCCGCTAGTTGAAGATTCTCGTACATTGCGTTTTCCATCAAATTTGCGGCGTCTTGAATCGGTAGATCAACTTGGTCATAGAACTTTTGTTTTCCAAGTGCTTGGACGCTTCGAGAGGTGTTTTCAATTTTGTTGATCACATCTGAAAAGCGTCATGTATTTTATTATAGTAGTTATGTTCCAGATAAGCTCGATACACGACAATAAAACGAACCTTCCACAGCAGCAACACACGCATCATAATCGCCGACTAATCGGGAAATCATTCCAGCTCGATACGCATCGCTTGCCTCCAGAAAATCTCCAGTAACAAGTAAATCCATCGCAATCTTGCGAGGTACCGCGCGGGCAAGTTCAACCGCGGGTGAGTGGCAGTATAACCCGATGGTTTTTGCGCCGGGGACGCTGAACTTGGCGTTTTCAGATGCAATCGTAATATCTTAAGAATCATTAAAAGTCGAAGACATGAGTGTCTACCACCTGCTGCGATTGCAAGTTGAGCTCCAGCAGCAACAGCAAGCCCTGTAACTTGAGCAATCACAGGCACATCCACTTCCCTTATCTTCTTCATAACTTCTTTACATGTTCCGAAAAACTGCTGATGAAGTTCGAAATTCTTTAGTTCCGCTACATTATGTCCCGGCGAGAAAATTTTAGGATGAGCTGATCTTATCACAATCGATCGGTAATCGCTAAAATCGTCACTAAAAAGTATTGACATAACAGTCAATAATATTTAGACAAAAATACCTTAACGCTTCGTTGAGCTCTCTATAAGGATTTGGCTTGTTTATAGAGCTGAATGCTCATTCTATTTTGCGATTATAATCCTTTCCTGAGCATATCAATTCCAAGGGCATTTCGGCCTTTTAGGTCCGCTAGCTCGATTATTTTTGTGTTTCCAGTGCGAGTTATGTTCAGTAGATTACGACAAACAGATGTAACGCGCATTCAATCAAAAATCTTAAGCCGAATTTAGTTTTCATAAAAGTACTGAAGATAGCAAAAGTTACTAATTTAGTAACTTTAAAAGTAAGTTGAGTTCGCTCGATCTAAAATGCTGAGTGAGGAAGTAAGGACCTAAAGTTAGTAGGATGTATAAAACATTGAGACGTCCATTGAGAAATCCAGCATCCCTGAATCAGACCGGAAGTGAAAATTAACAAGAAATACTACTATTAATCTACCCTATCGATCGAAGATCTCCGTGTGAAGGCCTTTTCTAAACTTGGAGGCCCAAAATGTTGGCGCAGACTTTCTAGCTCGAACCACTTCGTGCAGATTAGGATCACCAGCCGCCTGCTCGAGCGCATTCGGCGGAGCATAAAATTAAGCTTCAAAATCTACTATAAATTATACTCAATCGTCTTTTTGGAAAACAGAAAAAACATGACCCTAGATTTCAGCGACGTTAAATTGCCGAATAAAGAGAATATATCGCCAGAGATGAATATTGGTAAGACTTTCGAAATAATTAGTTGTTCCCTCGAATCATAATCGAACTCGCGAGTAATAAAGCTGATGTTTTGTTGAAACTTTAAAATATTTCTCAAGTATATCCTTGTCTATTAGACAATATAAGCTTCTTTTGATTACGTCAGGAGCCGGAAAACTCGAACGTTAGATATTCACGTGTGAAAGTTCTCCAATAGAAAAAAGAGTAAAAGAAATATTACCAGAACGCAAAAGAATAATAAACAAGATATAACGATATCATTTTTAAAGTCGGAATCCTGAGAATTATCGCTCTGTTCTCACAACACGGCCGAGTTAGTATTTTCAAATATTGATCAATCTACAGACTATTAGGACCTTCGTCTTCGGAAGAAAATTGTAGAGTAAAACTCTGTTTCAGATTTATTCAAAATCGAGCCCATGGATTTGGACGTGGGGCCGCTGATCAAGCTCCCGAAGGGAATCGCTGAAGACATAAACGACCCAATTGATGTGCTCAAGATAGACCCGCTATTCATGCCCAAACCGGACAAAGAAACAGAGCCAGTCGCGGAGAAGAAACCGCTGAATTTGTCCACGAAAGAAAATGAAAAATCAAGCTCAAAAGAAGAGCCAAAAAAAAGGCTGGAGAGAAGAAACTCAGTATTAGTTCTTCTCTTAGCTTGAAGTTCTACAAGTGCAAGTTCTGCTACAAAACCTTCACTTCAAAGGAAGATCAAATGGAACACTCTGCGAGAGCTCACTTGATATGTTCGGAGGTAATTAGCGATCTGTAAAGGCGAGTCTAATTGTATCTATAGTGCCCAAGAATGTTCGATTCTCGTGTCGGTTTGCGAATACACAAGGCCATCGGCCACGGACCCTTCAAATGCGAGCTCTGTCCAAATACATTCAAGAGTTTCAAGCAACGCGACGCACACCGCCGTGCCCATATGGACAAAGGACCCCTTATCTACTCCTGTCGAGACTGCGGAGAGAAATTTTCCACAGAAGAGGGAGTCATTTGCCACAAATCAATTTACCAAGGTATTTTCGAAACTCATGTTTCCTTATTAATCATATTTTAGGCTGCTGCGACCACAGCAAAAAACTGCCTAAGCAAAACAACTACCGAGATCGCCGAGCTCAACGAGTTGCGATCAGTACGCTCAGATCTGTGAAAATCATCTACCGCCTTCCCAATGACGCTAATTTACTCGTTGTGTAGCTATTACTATATTTTACTGTACTGTAAGCCTGTGATCTCAAGCTAGAGGTCAATACTTCAAGCTATTCCCGCCATTTTGTAAAATGAAAATAAATTTTTTCAACTTATTTCAAGCTTCTATTTGTACAGACAGGGATATGTAACATATCATATGTTCAGGTCGAAATAATTGAAATTCAGGAGAATAAACAGGTTCAATCTCAGGAAAAGAGGCAGAAAGCAATTCAAGTGCTTCGTTTTTTCTTTTATCTTCTTTCCAACCGGAGGCAGTGGATGATAGGGGCAGGGCGAGCTCCTTTATTTGGTGGTCAGAGCAGAGCTTCAATAGGGCATTAAATACAGTCAGATCTTCGGTCCACTTCAAAACATTAACAATGGGCATAAGCAACTGATGGATATTACGTTGCAGATTTTCTTCGAGCTTTGAATTCATCCAGGAAGAGACTAAAAACGGTTGTAGGCAGGGTTCAAAATGTAGCAATATATTGCTGCTACATGCTACATGTGCTACATCGCCTCAGAAAAATCGCTGCTACATGCTACACTTCCTACATAAAAAATATTTTTTCGCAAAATTTTTAAGGTCAAACTAGATTACTTCTTAGCTAATAAACACTGTCAGGTATCAAAAGAGACGTTCAAAATACAATGAAGCTGATAAATCGTCTCTTACGACAGATATTCCTGTAAAATGTATTCTTGTCACGTTTTTTTTTTTGAAATATTGCATTCTAGAACAAAATTGTTGCTTTTTCACGAAAATTTTCTGCTGAATTTCGGAGTCGATAATAACAAATCTGCTCTAGAATTTTCTTTAAGCGAACAAAAATTTTCACCCCCAGAAAAATGTAGCAATGTAGCAAGCTACCCTTTGCTACACGTTTTTTGAACGCTGCTGCATGCTACACCTGCTACATACCATGCAGGATAGTTACAATGTCAAGTGCCCGCTTACAAAGAAAGAGTATCGACGACACATCAGCCTGATCCGACCGCTCCGACTCAAAACGGCTGAAAATCAAACAAAGTTTGTCGTCAAAGTAAAGACTGATCAAAAAGCGGAAGAAGATCAGCTCGATCAAGATCTTGCTCAAGTTCCTGCTCATAATGATACGAAAGAAGATCAAAGTATCAGAAGCCCTCATAAAGATCAACATGAGCCTGTTGATAGAGATGATGGACTTCAAGTTCAAACTCCTAAATGGAAACATCGCCTTCGCTCACGACGATGATGATCAAGCCATTAAACTTATGCTCCTGTTCCTGCTCACGTTCACACTTGTTTACGAAGTTCGCTCAAAATCTGTGATAAAAAGTCCTGTTCTCAAAAGGTTAACCTGAAGCTCAAATATTGGATCATAAACTTCGGCAATGTTTATGCACACTGGATCGGCTCACTTCAAAGCTCGAAGTCATCCCCGCTCGCTCGATCAAAGGGAATCCAGTTCCGCTCATTTGCTGTGCAGAAGTTTCATACAGGCCTCTTTGGACTTGTGTTCTCATAACCCAGCTAATGTGTCTATCAATTGCGCACACGATGGACACCGCTTTTCTGAACCTTGGTCCACTCCTCCAAAGATGCGAAGCAATGCGTGCAGTTGCTTTTTCACATTCAGATAATTCATAATCAAGTTTCTTAAAGATGATTTTGCTCGCTCATGGATTCATCTGCTCAAACGATCAAGATCAAGTTTCTTAAAGATGATTCTGCTCGCTCATGGATTCATCTGCTAAAACGATCAAGATCAAGTTGCTCAAAGAGACGATTCAGCTCAAATTTGTTCGCTCTAAGAATCGTTTGCTCAAATAATTCGCTCAAACACTGTTCACTCAGAAGACTCAAAAGCTCAAAAAAAAGAGGGAAGAGTATGCAAGCCTCCCGACTCTTGAATCTTACGTAAAAGCGCTCAATTTCCTGATTCGTTGATCGAAAAAATGCTCTTTCGCCTCCGCTTCCGAGAAAAACGCCACTCGCAAGAGATCGAAAATGGCTCAGAGACAAGTAGAAAACCGGAAGTATTCAAAATATAACGAAATCTGTCATAACTTCAAACCAACAGGTGATCTGAAAACCAATTTCCTGAGATACGTCATACCTCAAATGCTCCCGCTCGAAATTGACACTCGATATCTGTTCTGCGAAAAGACAATCCAGCTCATAAGAATCGTCGAGGAATCTGCTCGCAAAGGTTACGAGTTCTACAACAACTTTGCTGCTCAAATTGACCTCGAAAAGCTCACCAATGTCTGGATCTCTTACGAAAGAGAACCTCGTCCAAATGATATAATTTTATGGACAAAGAAAACTGCCTTCACGATGAAAATCCTTCTCAACTTCGAGACCTCACGAGAAGGAAAACTTCAGCTAGCTGACAAAGTTCGCGAATCTTTTGTCAAACATTTCATGTACAGAAGAATCGCCTGGGACAACCTTAACTTCTCCGATCTGAAAGAAGTTGAACTCCTCTCCAATGTCCATTTCGCTTTCTTTATTGAAAAATGCCAGAAATATTGCCTTGTAGCTCAAGAGACTGCCCTGGTAGTCTACCAACCCCCTGAAGCTCCGCTCAACAATTCAGGGCAAGTAAATTTGGACATACGTTGGAATTCCCCCGCTCGTGAATACGATCTTGTCAATGATGCAACTTCTGATGCATTCGACTCCTTCTTTCATGGAAATCTTCTTTGAAGATGCTCAAATCTTCAAAGAACCTACTTGCTGAAAACCGCTCCTTCTTCAAACTTTACCAGAACGCTCCGCTCAAAAAGAAGAGGGAAGAATATGTAGTGGTTTTACAGAATTGCTCTAATTACGATCACGCCGCGGGGCAAAGCAAAGCTTGCCACGCGAGCACGGCGCGTAAGTGAAAATGATGGCGCACTAGCGCTGGCGAAATAATCGACTCTAAAACGCGCGCCCTTCCTGAAAAACCAAATAATCCGTTTTAAAACGCCGCTCTTCAAATTATTCTCACGTCCTGATGCTCGAAATCCGATTAATCCGCTAAAATGGAATTATTCCTTTTCCAAGTGACAAAATCCGTTGGTGACGAATTATTACGTTAATGTTCAATTAATCCGATGAAAACGATACGATCGAATAACAGCCGATTAATCTACTGGGAACCCGAAAATTTGAAAAACTATAAAAACCGCTCACCATCTCTCTCACAGTCATTCTCACTTTTGCTCGCTCAGAGATAAGATCAAATAAAAGCTCAAAACTTTACTCTTTTTATACACAGCCAACTTTGCTCAGTTGTCTGTATATTTCTCTTGTGTTTACTTATTTGTATAGGTTGCAAAACCATTACAGAAATATCGTCAAGCTTGTCGAAATAATAAGCCTTCGGGCCGTCTCAGCCCCGTTCCTTGATTTTTAACTTTAAGGGGCTTGACGGCCCTTCGGGCCGTCTCAGCCCCGTTCCTTGATTATTAACTTTAAGGGGCTTGACAAAGGCATTTAACTCTGAGGTGATCAGTCTTAGTTTTGTCCCCAACCCCACCCACACCCGTTTGCGTAAAAATGAAAATACAGTTTTTTATGGAATTTTTGGACATCAAATTTTTGGACATTTTTGCTATTTTATGGGGTTTTCTTGGGACACTTTTCAAAAGTGCCCGTATCAAATTTTTGGACATTTTCTGCGCCGTATTTTTAAATTTTCTGTTATTTTTGCCAGATATGAAGTTTTTTCATATTAAAATCTTACTTTTTCTTTGAGAAAGATAAGATTGAAGGTTGATCTCGTACCCCTTAAACATTTTTTGTCTTTAGAAGAAGGATTAAACAAAGAATGATGGAGATTTTTCTCAAAAAAAATTTTTTAAGCGATTTGGATGGGATATTTTTTTTGGCCGCGTGTATCAAATTTATGGACATTTTCGCGAAAATCTTGGGACAAAAAATGTCCAAAAATTCCATAATTAACTGTAATTCCAATTTCTTTGTTTGTTATGGTAATCATCTGAGAAATCTTTTTTTTTCTTATAACGAAAATTAAAATTTTTCAATAATTATGAAAAAAATAATGAAAAATAATGAAAAAAAATTTTTGATTTTCGGTGAATCGATCTCACCACCTCTTGCTTTTCAAGCGAGAGCGCTAACATTTGAGCCACCAAGGGGGGATCGTTGCAGTAATAAAAATCGCTAGGCGGAGCTGACCAATCAGAGCGCACTTGGCTCTCCATTCAAATTTTCATTAAAGCCCTGAAAAGGGTTGAATCGGAGGTTTTTTGAAGAATCAGTGACCGGAATTGAAATTCTTGGGGTCGAATTTGTGGAATCGTGAAGTTTTATTGAAATTTAATTTTTGGTCCTAATCATGCCGGACCCTAGGTTGGCCCTTCCTTGCATTCTCGGCGCCGCGGACTCCCTCCGCGGGTCACGTCTGGACGTTGGCATCCCTACTCTCTTCGGCCGTACGGTTGAATCTTTACAACCAGCTGAGTCCTTCAAGCTAGGCCTTGCACACGTGCGTCTTCCGTGTAGGTTAAGGCATCCACCTGATCCCTGGCCAATCAACTCTTCCTTCTTCTCTTTTGAACTAGTCATAATCCCTTCTTTTTGTGAGCTCTTTGTCGAATTATTGTTTCCTCATTTGTCCATTTTCATTGCACCACTTAGCGGGAATTTAATCGGAGTCGAAACTGATCTCTCCATCTTCTGATCCAGATGAAAGTGTTGAAGGTGAAGTCGTCCACGAGCTGTAGTCGGAGCTTTCCGTGTCAGAAGTCACGCTCCCTGATACTGAGGAGGAGGACTCGGAGTCGTGCGCAGCTGAAACAAGCTCGTAAAGTGAATCCTCAAATCTATCTAGATCTTGAGTGTTCTCTTCGCATTCGTCCTGTATTCTTCGCAAGAGATTTTCCGCCTCAAAGCTAGTTCGGCGCATCGCAATGTAAATTGCAACTTCTTCATCTAAATCGCAGTCCCTTCTGAAATCATCGATCGCCTCTATGAAATTCTTGATGTCTTCGACTTCCTCTTCTTTTGT